AGAGACCAGGATGGTGCAGGACAATAGCACAAGGATGGAGTGAAGAGAAGTCAACATGGACTGACAGCATGGCCAAGTCTGCTCTGCCTGTGACAGCAACTGGCAAGCAATCTCCCTTCTTCATCTCAACACAAGCTTTTTCATCCTAGTTTCTCTCCTCTCACTGAGGATTGGGAGCAGCAAGCCTCTGAGTAGCGAGCCAAGGCTAACCCATGGCAAAAGCCTGTACGAAAGCCACTTTTTGAATCAGTGAATATGCCTGAATGTGTTTTAAGGCTAATCACAACCACAATGAGACTGTTTCATTGTCAGTGTACAAAATTCTAAGACACATTTGGCCACCCAAGAGATTACTGACATCTACAAGCAAGTCAGCACTTTTTCAGCCAAAGAACCACCAGCACAGGAAATGACAAATAGTTTAACTCTCTAACTTCTAAACCACAGGCAAGTTGTATGTTAAAAATAAGCATCCAAAGAGTACAGAAGACAAAGCAGTTGCTATTGAGCAAGAATAGTACTATCTCTCTTCTCCTTAACTAACTTGTCTACAACAAAAAAGCTTTGCTTTCAACAACAGTAGATGATCACCTCTGGCACCTCTGGCTACAACCTCAAGTCATGCAATTTAGAAGGCTTTCAGCTATTCTTACCACCATGCAACATATTTTGAAATACATGGGTTCTTTAACAGGTATTAAGTGCCTGGCTAAAATCTTAGCATAAATAATTTTGCACTGTGAAAATCAATATTTGATTGACATAAATTTTAGACATTATTTGGAGAATCTACAGGTGCTATTTTCCTACTAGCACTTCCTTCACCACCTCCCACTAGGGCAGACAGAAAGGCTCAGGCTGCTTTTTACTACATATTTATTCTGTAAAACTCCTTAAAACAAATGCATTCTTCTCAAAATGACGAAAGTAATAACTACTTCCTTTAATTAAAATTTTAAAAGCAAAGAATTACTGCAACCACAAGTCTATATTAAAGTGTAACATACAGGAGATCAGAATAACTGCTAACCTCCAAATCCAACACTATAATAAACCCTTACACCCGTCATTCTTCTTTTGCAAGCAGTTAAGATTTAAGTGTTCTGCACATATTAAAAGAGTGGATGCTATATCCATAAAAGTGAGTTGCCTGGAGGGACAAAAAAATAAAAGCGTTGTTTTTGAAAGGAACTAAGTAGCTCCTGTTCACCATCACTCAAACACAGAATGTCATTTGACCCCATAGCAATCTGTGAGACAGCAGAGGCCATTCTAGCAGCCATTCTAATGTTCTGAACATTACATTTTTAAGTGTGGGTGAACAATCTCTATAATACACCACATACAAACATTTGTACACTTATAACTGGTAACCAATTTGAAATCCACGCTTGGACTAACTCACCATTTATTGCCTTGCCTAGCCTGTAAAGATAAACCTGCCTTTTCAAGATACGTCCAAAGCTGTACCATCCCTGGCTGCACATCTCCCATAGCAGAGCAAGAAAACTTGTTACAGAAACAAAACCACCGGACTGCTGTCTCCTCCTCCACCTCAAAGGATGAAAACGAGTGTCATCAGCCCTATCCTCCCCACCCTGGCTGAGTTAGGAAGCTGCCTTTGAAGCCCACCTGTACCCCAAGAAGGCAGTGCCACACAGGCTTTCCAGCGTGTTGGGACCTTAATGCTGCTGCCACTTTGCTTGTGACATCATTAAATAATCTTTCATGCTGCCAGTGAGGCTCAAATACAAGGAAAGCAAGGGCTCAAGTACAAGGGCAAATCACACTGCCAGGACTCCAGGAGCAGAGAGCTGCAGGCTACTATTTTAGGGAGTGTCAATAAAATCACTTTTGATGTCCAACATTACCAACAGGCAATAATGGACAGTGGAAAGAAGCTTGACTAGAGGTGGCACAGTTTACTAAAGTAATAAATATGTGTTACTTCATTTCAAAGAGTGCTTCTTTCACTTTCCACAGGCATCTGTTGGACACACATGGCCCAACCACATCTATGATGAGCACTTTCACAGTCTTAGAAGAGTTATTAACCAAATGTGCATTTCAAAGGCTGGTCTAGATAAATAAGCAAAGGGATTAAAATGCTGCATGCCCTTCACTGCAGTTAAATTTCTACAGCACGTGAGTAACTGCTGTCTTCACAGAGGTACAAACTATGCTGCAAGGGTTTCATAAACAGTCACATGTACAAGAAAACTGAAAGACTTGAGTCAGTCATACACATTTCAAATTTAATTTTTCAGCAATTTAATTTTTTAGGACAGGCACTGAGACTGTAAGGAGCTGAAATTATTTTGCATGAGCAGCAAACTGTGTCATTAAATTCAGTGATTATACAAGAAGCACCTATCTAAAAAAAAAATCTCAGCGGGATACAAACAAGACAGCAATTTTTTTTTTTTTCAGAGAAGGCACTCCTATTGAACCAAAAAGCAAGTACCATGTGGAAATGAGAAGAAAGAGAAAAACTGAAGGTCACAAATTAAATATGCTCCAAAAGTGTCCTTGCCTGTTACATTTTAAGATAACCAGAATTAATTTGCATATATTACTAAAAAACTGGTAATTCCCCTGTGTAAATAGTATAACTCAGTAAGCATCTAGCTTTGTAAGCTAGATTTATATGAATTATATGATTTTCAACTGTATGATTTCCAGTGATTTTCAAAAGTAAGACTTTTAAATACCTATATCCATAGATAACTGAGTCCAACTAGCAAAATAGAAGACTTTTCAGTATAAAAATATGTTTACCAAGAATTATCAAGTCATTAACTGTTATACTCCCACACCAGTTAAGAATCTACATCAAATAACTGCCATTGAAGCATTAAACATATTTTGGCAGAAGAAAGGTTCCTTCAGCTTAAGAAATAAGTGCCTAAATTCCTGCTTCCTAGTAGGACACTGCTGTTCTGCTACAAAATACTTTTCCCATTAACAGCTTCCTTACAAAGAAATGAAAACACCTAACATGGCAGTAACAATAGCATAGGAGCTTAGTAGCTGTCATTCCTTCAATAAAAGTACCTGCATGGAGCTAATTAACTTCCACATCTTCAGACAGATTATAAACCACACAAAACAACTTCTCAACCGTTTCCCAGTAGGAGTGATGAAGGAGGGCACTCCTCAGATGGAAATTATAATGCAGACATCATCCCTCAAGGTTAAACCTACCTACTTGCCTTCTAATTAACCACCCCTTTCTGTTAGTTTAACTTATCTCAAATTAGATCATTTTTCTACCAGTTTTGCTACTTTACACCTCTACTGCTTTGAGAGACACATACATTTAAACAGTCAGGGTTAATACAAGTTCAAAGAAATGAAGGGATGGGGGAGGAACTAGAAGCAATACACATAATTTGTTCTCCAGTCTTACACACAATTCTGATAAACAAGCAAAGCAAAACATTAATCCAATAATTCACTGGAATTGCTGATAAATTCAACGCAATATTAAAACACTTTATTTGACCCCAAACAAAGGGGAAAACAATGTATCAAATGTCACAATCTAAAGTTTTCTGAAACAAGTGAAAAATTAACACCAACAACCTTTGTAATGGTTAGTGTCAGAGTATACAGTGATGATATAACCTTTTAATATTCCTGTCCCAAAGACAAATAATCAAGAACTGGAACACCCTAAATTCCTGCAGTTTCCATCAAATTAACTGAAATCTCCACACCTATTGTTCAGAATACGCACCATCTTTGCAAGCTGTAGTACAAAGATAATGTAACTCCATTCTTCTGCAGGAAGCACTAAATAATTTTTTTTAAATGCTTCAGCAAGGCAAACGTATTATACATAGAAATTCATAACTTAATCGCAGTACAGAAAAAAAGAACAATGCCTTCTTTCACCTTATAGGGATGAACATTAGCCTACTTGTAGCGATTCAGGCAGCTGCTGAGAATGTCTTAGCAGCTCTTGTATTTGCAAAAAAACCCCTGTCAGTCGTAAGCAAAACAATCTCGCCATTTACATACATCAGCTAACTGCATACATGTTATACAGTCATCTTTTGCGAACCCAACATTAAAACATAAACCTAAATTTCTAGAGGAGAGAAATTACAGCACTATGCACTTGCAATGGCAGAGCCAAACCACAGACCTCCACTTGTGATCAATTGCTTCAATAAATCAAAACATGACAAAATATTTGCAGAAGCCCTGCCAGAGCAAGACAGGTGATACAGACGGGAGTATTTTCAAATCCTAAAAAAGGCATCCTAAAGAGCCGGTACCTTGCCTTACCTGCCCAAAAGCAATGCTCACACGGCTCTGCAGCGAATTCACCGCTTTTGCTCTGCCAGTTTGACAGCCGTGACAGGGGAAGTCAGCCCATCGCTTGCACAGAGGTGTTTCCCCTGGAACAACCTAACTCCAAGCATTACCATTTCAACGCATCCCTGCCAGCCTGCAGGAACTAGATTCTAATTAATCCAGATTCAGAAAAGTGGTGGAGCAAAAAAGGGAAAGGAAAAAAAAAAAAAGCCACCAAAAAAACAGGACTCGACTCGTTTGTTCCGGTCTAAATTTACAACGAAATTTACAAGAGAAGCACGCTTCCACACTCTGCTTAAGGGTATACTGACATAAACCGGGGATGGAAGAGAAAGCTCAAAACATGGAAACCGATTATGTAGGTTAAGCTCAGCTTTTGTCATCCGCTTCAAGGTCCAGCTAAGGAAACGCCGAGCCCCCGGCTGGGGCCGATCCGGCGCCAGCGGCACCGGGCCGGTCCCCGCGCCCCCTCGGGGCGCCACGTCCCGCTCCGGCCGCGGGCCGCGGGGCAGGGGCCGCGGGGCAGGGGCCGCGCCGCCCCCCGCGCGGGGCGGACAGAGCCGCTTCCTCCGGCGGTCCCGCCGGGAGCCGGGCCGGGCCGGGGGAGGGGACGGGAAGCGGCGCGGGCCCCTGTGCCTCCCCCGCGCCCTAGCCCCTTTCCTCCTTAGCGCTCTTACCCGCCTTGTAGCCGCGCAAGCCGGGCTGGGGGTGCAGCCCGCCCCACATGGTGCCGCGCCGGGCCGGGCCGGGGGACCGCCGCTCTCCGGCGGACGGGCTGGCGGCCCGGATGGGCGGCGGAGGCGGCCGCTCCCGCTGCCGCTGCCCGGGGAGCTCAGCGGGGCGCTGCCGCCGCGGCGGGGGCTGCTGCCCGCCCCAGGGGCGCCGCGGCCATGCTGCCGGCGCTGCCGAGCGCGGTGGGACCCGGCCACCCCCTCGCCGGAGACAAAACTTGCTCTATTGCGCTGCCGCCGCCGCCTGCTGCCTCTCCGGCGCTGGCAGCGGGGCGGGGACAGGGGCGGGAGCGCCGCAGATGCGGCGGCTGCTGCTCGGGGAAGAAGCGCTTACATAACCCGGCCCACGGGGCGAGCTGCAGCGGGGGGCTGCGGCGGGGGGCGAGTCTGTCAGGGCTGGCCCGGCACAACCCAACCCAACCCGGCCCGGGCCGGCATCAATCCAATCCAACACAACCCAACCCAGCCCGGCCCGGGCCGGCATCAATCCAATCCAACCCAACCCAACCCAGCCCGGCCCGGCCCGGGCCGGCCCGCCGAGGTGGTTTTGGGTTGGCGTTTGGACATGTATTCGCCGCCCGTTCACCCTGGGCTCCGGGAAGGGGCCGGTGTGCAGCGGCGTGTGCTCGTCCCCAGGGAAAACACTGAACTGACAGCACTTAGCGTGATGTGAAGGTAATCGGAAAAGCAAAGTGAAATGCCTGACTCCAGAGTTGCGGCATTGGAAATGCCCAAGGCCAGTATGCGCAGACCTTAGTAAGTAGAGGTCATAATAAAATCACTGTTTTCTTCTACTTATGTTTGTTTTAGTAAGAAAACAATGTGGAAATGAAGAAGAATCGTGACATCCGTTTGAGTGATCAGTTCCACCAAAAGATTCACAGTAACATAAAAAAGTTTAAGCCACAGGACTGGGAACAAAATGCTCTTGTCAGGAGTAACTAAAACCCAGTAAGAGGCGCATCCCCTTTCCACGCTGCTTTGAGTCTGCTCCGAATACTTCCAAAGATAATTCTGCAATAGCTGCTTTTCTATTGCTGTTGCTTGCAACTGCAGCCCAGTGGTCCCCATGTAAACTGCTTTCTGAACAAGACCCTGACTCAACCAGCAATCCATTTCATCAGACAAAGGGAAGGGGAAAGCACTTGGTCAGCTTCTAACTTCAGCATAGCCATACCAAGATTACAAACTGAACATCCACCAAAAGAAGAAAAGTGATGCTTCAGACAGCATTGTAGATTATGATAGACATGATAGTTTAGGGAGGTGAGGTGAAACAGGATATGTTCTGTGTTTGTGTGGAGACATTCACAATCAATAAATAACATTTTATTCAAACATTTCCTGCTGACCCAATGTATTTTTAATTAGTAACTGATAATCACAGAACAGCTTTTATCTCTTTGGAAAGTTATATGTTTTGTTTCAGCACAAGACATGTTTTATTTATGCCTGGCTTGGTATTCATAACGTACTCAGTAAAACAGGCCTCAGAAGTACTGGCATGAGCATGTAGAAATGCTGAATGTTGTTATTTCATCCTCTTTCTTATCTGTATAAAGCCCTTGCACACTCACCGAAGACCTGACATGACGTGCATTCCTCATCAGCTTGTTTTAACTTTAGAGTATCAGCGGGTGTTCCGTAGGCAGAGTTGTAGAAACACAGACTTTAAATGTTACCAAATACTGAATAAAAAACCCAAATAGTAAAACTGCAGGAGATCTGTCAAAACCTTCAGGCTGTTGCTAGAAGTCCTTGAATGGTAAAAGGTCAGAAGCATTTTCAAGAAGCCACCAACACTGGTTTACAGCAGAACACCAAAGCAGGAACTAAATTTTCATTGACACCACCTCAGTGAAAGTGTCCAGCCTTCAACCCTGAAGCTAACATTAATATTGAAGAATATTTGCAAGAGAGATGCATGGTAGGTAAACATGAATAACAGAAGACAAAATAAAAGCTAGAGTATATTGCAAAACTTTGAAGACAAAGAAACACATAAACAGCTTAGTTCAAGGCCTCTTTAAAGGACTTGATCATGTGTAAACATTTGTAGCATACTATTTTGTTGGATTAGCTTGAGTATTTACCATATTTACAGGAGGATACGATGAGATGTAAGGAAACTGAATTTTAAGATTGGGAAGTTATCTAGCTGCAGGCAAGAAGAAAAACTGCCTCATGACTGCTAAGCTCTGGAGTTTGTGGTGCTGTCCTGAAATGCAGCTGCAAGAATCCAGAGGCATATCATGACTGCAAGAAAGCTGCATGCCTGGAAAAGGTGTGGTAACTGTTCTTCTATCTTCTAATAAACGTCACTGCAGTGGTTTTATGTAATTTCTATTGCCGTTCATGGAAGTTTTACAGTTTCTTATGTATCTCCTGTCTAGCCATGAACAATACTACAGATGAAAAAAAAAGATAAAATGGCCAAGATGAGGGTAGCAGAACACAGCCAGATAGCCTGGCTGAATCCCCTCCAGCCATAGGGCTGTGTCTTCCAAGGTGTCTCCACTGGGACATCAGTGCTTTGACAGTGCTACTGCTCAGAGCAGAAGGAAAAAGCCAACTGTGCTTAAGTATAAGCAATCAGATAAAGAAAACCTGAGACACTTTCATTGTTATGATTGGATTTTAAGTTATTTTTATAGAAACTGAGTGTAATTCGTAAAGCTTTTTCACTTCAATTGACCACAGTGTATCTGTCTGGAAACCAGGCCAAACTGAAGCCAGTAATTTTACTCTATAAATAAATTTTAGCTTGTTAATGCTTTATTCTTTATCCAGCAATGTTTTACAGCTGCAGTCTGCTTCTGTATACAGTTCTAGACCCAGAGCAGTATTTATTTTAGATTTTCAAAAATCTCTTGGAAAATTATGATGACTGATCGTGTCTGTTGTCCTGCCTGTGAGGCCCAGCCATGCAGAGGGTGGGATGTAGTGGCTCTGATCCTCTTGCCATGCCTTTGTCCCTCTGTCCCAAGGGAGCGTACCTACACTAAAGTGACTTGCAAGAGGGTAGAAACATGCAGTCATTAAGGTTGGGAAGACCTCTAAGATCATCCAGTTCAACTGCTAAGCTTGTCACCTCTTACATCTCTTGGCTTGATACGAATTAGGAGTGTGACAATCTGTGCTTCAGTGCTGCCTCAGTCAAGAGGGGTATCGAGGTCCTGATACTCATGGAAAGCAGCAGCACAGTATGAGGGGAAACTCGTGTAACCTTACACCTAAATAAAACTGTAAGTGGAAACAGCCTGCATCCCCAGGTAATTATTGTGAAATGTGATGCTCCAGACAGTGAATGGACTCAGTTTCTTAGTGTCTGAAAAGCCTTCTCTCCACCTCCTTTTTTTCTGACACAAACTCCACCTTCTTGGCAGAATGAAGAGAGGAAAATGACAATAGAAAGTAACAGTTTAAGCACTGGAGCTAGGCAGATGCTGTCTCACGAAGCTCAGCTGGAGCATGTTTTATCCAATAGTCTGTGGATCTAGGTTCAGCAATCACATCTCTTTTTTTCCCCCCTCAGTAAAAATGTAATGCTTGAAATGGAAATAAGCTGAAGCATAATATGTGAAAACAGCATTTTTCTTTGATTAAAGCCAAAAATAAGTTCAATGTTTCTTCTACACACTTGCTTTCACATTTAATAAAATTAAAATATTATTAAAAAATCCAAATGCAAATACCTAAACATTGTTCTAAGAGAATGCAGACCATTTCCCCTATCTAATTAAGACTTTAGGCGTGTGTGCATTCTATCAAAAAACAACAGCGGTATTTCTGCAAGCATATCTACATTGTAAATTACTTTGAAATTAAAATCACAAATTTTCAGTTATTGAGTTGCTTCACTAAGTACAGCAATTCTTTCCCTCCACCCACAACTATTACTGTTGAACACTGTGTCCTAGCAAAGTCTTAGCAGCCTTTAAGAAGCCTTAGAACAATTTCTCCTGTTTTCCAAAAAAATAACTATGCATTGGGAGTCACTATAATTAAGAACAGATTAGCCTACCTAAGGAACTGCACACCTGCTAGTAGGGGCATGCTGGCCTATAAAAGACTGAATTGTTTTATTCAAAATACACAGAGTGCACTGCACAGCATTAACAATAAATTGTTAATATCTGCAAAGTAGGCATCATGAAGTAACACTGTGTATGCAATGTTCTTATTTTTGCCTTTTCTACAAACAAATAAGAGTGCACATGTCTCACAGAGGAGCACAGTTTGAATGTGCTTTGCACTGTGCTTTCACAAACAGCTTACACCATGGGAGAGAGTCAAACCAAGAAGCTCACTGTTACCATACCTATAAACATAGCTATGGTTTATTACCAACATCTTGAAATTGCAGATTCTTCTTAATGTTCCGGCTTTCAGAGTCAGATTTTCACCTGAGAAATTATTTACATCATTGCTAAAAGACCCTTTGGTTTCAGGAATTTTTTCACCTGTTTTTGTTGGAATTTTTTTTTGGTGGGGGTGTGTGTGTATCATATTAATTTAAAATAAATCACAGAGAATTAAATCAACTTTGTGTTATCAACTCAGATAGTGCAGGAAGAACAAATGCAGGAGTGGCATCCAGTGGCGTCTAACCAGTAACTTGTGAAGATAAACAGGATTTTCCCAAGTATATTTTTCTCAAGGGGAGATTTTTTGAGTTCTGCCATTCCATCTTCCCTCCATCCTTCCTTCTTCCCAAAGGCAGTAGGAAAAAAAAAAGAGGAAATATAAATATTTTGGGAGCAGATGGAGAGAATATGTAAAAACCAGCAGGCTGGAGGCAGGTTTTCTTCAGGCTTCCAGTCTGGTTCCTATAAGGTTTAAGTACCTCTACCAGAGCAGCCAGGGAGCCTCACTGACATATCCAGCTTTCTTGCAAGACATTATGCTTTCACAAAAAACAAAAAACAAAAAAACAAATAAAAAAAAATTTGAAATTGTTTCTTTTACTTTACAGCATGACTTTTTCACAGAATCTCCAGTTCTCTTGTTCTTGAGCCCCTTGAGTTACTCTCACTTTCTGTGGACACACTATCTGATTTTAGGAGCACAAATACTTTTTGTATTTTCCTCTGTGCTAAAACTTGTGCTAAAGCCCAGGAAGCCCCAGCAGTGCTGCAGTTCAGGGTTTTGATCCCACTGACAATGCTCAAATTTTTATAGCTGGCATTTTTCTTCTAGGCAGACTTGTTTGACTCCATGTTACACACAGACAAAAGAGTGCAGGATGATGCATCTAAAACTGGATGATATCACTACACAATAATTCGCAGG